GTGATGCGGGCGTTTTCCCCCACGTCATCATCCGTGGCACTGATCACCACCACGGTGCTGCCCACGGGCCGGTCCTCGTTGATGCTCACAGAGTAGTGGGCGCTCTGGAACACCGGCCGGTGAGTGTTGGCATCAGTGATGTTGATGTGAACATGGCAGTTGTCACGCAGGGTGCGATCGGAGGCCGTCACAGTGAGCACGTAGCGCCTCTCCTGCTTGTAGTCCAGCGGCAGAGACAGCGTGATGAGCCCCGTCCCACCCTGCGTGCTGATGGAGAAGCGATTCCGCGTGTTGCCTCCTGTGATCTGGTAGGTGATGGCACTGTTCACGTCACGGTCGATTGCCGTAACGCTGAGGACGCTGGTCCCCACGGCTGCATCCTCATTCAGGCGGATGAAGTACTCCTTCTGGGTGAACTCAGGGCGGTTATCGTTGACATCCATGACAGTAATGGTGACGCTGGCGGAGGCGGATAAAGATGGGGAGCCGTGATCCCGAGCCTCTACCCCAAAAAAGTAGTGCTCGACCGACTCGCGGTCCAAGGGCCCGCTGACCGTGATCCACCCCGTGGCACTGTTCACCACGAAGGGTGTGTCAGCCGAGACCCCCGTCAGTTTGTACTCCAGGCGCGAGTTCTCGCCGTAGTCTGCGTCCACTGCCTGGATGTGGATGACGGAGTGGCCGAGGGGAGCGTTCTCCAGGACGGAGATCTGGAAAGGCGTGCTGACAAAAATGGGGGCATGGTCGTTGATGTCCACCACCTGGATGCTGGCCATGCCGGTGTTGTTGGAGAGGGGAGGGCGCCCCGCATCCTGTGCCCGGATCCTGAGGGCATACTCCCGCTCCACCTCAAAATCCAGCGGGGCCACCACCTGGATCTCCCCAGTGACGCTGTCGATGGAGAACTGCCCCCGGCTGTTCCCGCTGATGATGTTGTAGTGGACCAGCGCGTTGTTGTCCTTGTCCAGGTCGGTAGCGGTGACACGCAGGATCTCGGTGTGGGGCCGTACGTCCTCCCTCACCTGCACGATGTAGCGCTTCTCGCTGAACTGAGGCGTGTTGTCATTCTCGTCAAGCACCGTGATGTAGACCTTGACTGTGGCGGAGCGGGGTCCTGGCTCCCTGCCCTGGTCGTTGGCCTCCACCACCAAGGAATACCGCTCCATCTTCTCCCTGTCCACGGGCCCGCTGGTGGTGATGAGCCCGGAGCGCGGGTCGATCTCGAAGACGGCGTGTGCCGCCTGCTCGTTGACGAAGCGGTAGCGGATGTTGGCATTGGGTGGGGAGTCGACGTCGGTGGCCCGCAGCTGCAGGATGGGGTACCCCTCCTCCACGTTCTCCCGGATGGTCTCCCGGTACTCGCCCTGCTCGAAGACGGGGTCGTGGTCGTTGCGGTCAGCCACGGCGATGGCCACCATGGTGGTGGCCGAGAGCCGGGGCGCGCCGTGGTCGGCGGCCGTCACGCGGAAGTAGTGGAGCTCCATGCTCTCGCGGTCCAGGGCCTGCGTGGTGGTGATGAGCCCTGCCCGCGGGTCGATGCTGAAGAGCTCCCGGGACCGGCTGTTCATCAGCGCGTCCATGGAGTACACGAGCCGCCCCGCCTCGCCGCCGTCGGGGTCCTGCGCGGCCACCGCCACCACCGCCGTGCCCGCCGGCTGGTTCTCCGCCACCTCCGCTTGGTAGTTGTACTGCGGGAACAGCGGGTGCCGGTTGGGGACTGCGCGCCGGCCCCGCCGCCCCGGGAATAGGGATGGGGACGGGGACGGGGACGGGGATGGGGATGGGGACGGGCGCGGCGCGGCGGCGCGGGGCGGGCAGCGCGGAGCCGGCGGAGCCCAGCACGGCTCTGCGGCGGGGCAGCCCCCGCGGGCCGGCGGATCGGCAGCCCCCAGCCCGGGGGGGAACAAAGACAGCAGCAGCAGCGGCAGCAGCAGCGGAGGAGGAGGAGGACGGCGGCGGTGGCGGCGGCGGCTCGGGGCGGGCACCGGCTCCTCCGCCGCCATGGTGGCTCGGCGGCCGCCGCCCCGGCCCGGCGCTCGGCGGCTGGGCTCGGTGCCGCCCCCCACCCCTCTCCGCTCAGCGCCGCCGCCGCGGCTGCTGGGGGTGGCGGCGGCTCCTCCCGCAGCCCCAACATGGCTCCCGCCGCCCCGCCCCGCGCCCCCGCCCGCCCCGCGCCGCCATCTTGAGGAGGGCGGGCAGCGCCAGGCCTCCGCCCCGCCGCGGTCGGGCACCTGCGGGCACCGGCAGCGGCCGCGCCGAGCCTGTGCTGCGGCTACCGCCGGGCTCGGCGGCTTCAGCAGCGGCCGAGAGCAGACCGTGGGGTTGGTGCCTGCTGCCGGCAGAACCAGCACCGGACTGGTTTGTGTGGAAGGCACCTTAAAGCTCCTCCAGCTCCAACCCCTGCCACGGGCAGGGGCGCCTTCCACTAGAGCAACTTGCTCCAAGCCCTGTGTCCAACCTGGCCTTGAACACTGCCAGGGATGGGGCAGCCACAGCTTCTCTGGGCACCCTGTGCCAGCGCCTCAGCACCCTCACAGGGAAGAGCTTCTGCCTAAGAGCTCATCTCGGTCTCCCCTCTGGCAGGTTAAAGCCATTCCCCTTGGCCTGTCCCTACAGGCCCTTGTCCAAAGCCCCTCTTCAGGTTTCCTGGATCCCCTTCAGGCACTGGAGCTGCTCTCAGGTCTCCCCAGAGCACAGCAGAGGGGCAGGATCCCCTCCCTGAGCTGCTGCTCACGCTCTGGGGGTGCAGCCCAGCACACGGCGGGGTGGGGGTCTGGGTTCAAGCACACGCTGAAGCTGGGTCATAGGGAGCTCCTCCTCACCCGGCACCCCCAGTCCTCCTGAGGGCTCCAAGCTGCAGGTTTTTCTTCCAACATCCATGAAAAATAAAACCTGATTTTCCAAGGGAAGTTCAGGTTAGGGCCCTTGAACCATTCCCATTGGAATGGTTCATTAGCGCAATCAGCCTCCAACTTTGCTGTTGGTTTGATCTCAATCAACTAATATCGCAGCCTAATCCACTGAAGCTTGTAACAGGTTTAGGAATAACGGGGATTTAGGTCCTCGTCAGTGTTCAGTGGAGGAAATACCCTCAGCTGTGTCCTGGGAAGAAGAGCGGAGCCCAAGGCGTGGTGGCTGGGGAAGAAAGAGCCACAGCAGGGAGGGAAAGAAATCTGGGAGATGGGAGAATTGAGGGTGGGGTAGGGAGTACACCGGCCACACCGTGCCTCCATGCACATCCCAGCCCCGCGGGGGCTGCAGGAGCCCCCCCGTCACCGTGATGGGCGGGCTGTGCTCTGGGGTGGGTTGGCTGGGGAGCAGGGGACGCCCCGCGCCCGCACCGCAGCCGGGCTGGGCACCGCCGGCACCCCTGGTGTTAACAGCACAGACTCACACCGGGCTTTTCGCTGACCGCAGGGCACAGCAGGGCTGCGGACCTCGAGGGGTGTCCTCCGCACCGGACGGGGCCGCAGCATCCCGCAAGGTGCTGCGGAAGCGCCGAGTCCTGGCATATCGGCACTGCGCCTCTGCCCAGTGCCCCGTGTGCCTGCACTCCCCCAGCAACCGCGGCCACCGCCGGCTCTCCCGCAGCTCCGGTCCTACCGATGGTGACAGATGGTCCCCTATCAGTTACCATCAGTGTAAGCACGGCGGTGGGAAGCGCTGCTGCTGCCCGCTGAGCTGGGCTCGGCTGCAAGCGCCTCCCGCTCCCAGGGTGACTAAGAGAGCACAAAGCGGGGTCTGCAGCACGCCCGGCTGGTCCCCAGCCACCCTACACCGTCCTCACAGCCGGAGCCTCGGGCTTCCACTGCAGGGCTGGTGTTTCCCTTCCACCTCCATCACGCTGGGCTGAGCACATTTCATGGCTGAAGCACCCGTGTGGCAGGAAGGTGCCGGCTTCACACGAGCCCCTGGCGCCGGCTGGATCCTACATCCCACCTCCTCAAAGTGGGGATTTGCCATTAAGAAACCCAATCAGGAGAGGGGAGAGACTTTTAAAACACGGTGAAGGCTTTCAAGTGTATTTGTTGTAATTACCCGACTGACAGCTCAGCGGAGGAGGAGAAAATCGTCAGGGTATTGCTGCCACAAAACAGTTGTAATTGAATCATTCCAGACAATAAAGCAGAGGTGGGGGTCACAGCCAGCGCATCGCTCCCCCCCAGCTTCCCCAGCACCCATCACTGCTGCGCAACAAAACACATCCATACCAGGAGATACTGCTTTAATAAAGGCTTATTACAGCTAACAGAAGCGCGGTGTATGAGCTGTGCCTGTCACCCACACACAGAGCAGGAGCCACCAAGTATCCCCAGGGATAATGCTGCGGTTCAGCTCCCTGCATCGCACCTTTCCCGGGAGCAGGCGCAGCTCTGCCAGGGTGCAGGAGGGGTCACCCCGTGTGGTGGGACAGGGCTGAGCACACCCAGGGATGCAGAAGGAGCCACCAGCTCTGCCCCATCAGGGCACTGTCACAGGAGGCTTTGCCAGGCTGTGCCCCTGGCTCCCAGAGCCATGGATCCTGCCCGCTCCCCAGGGCAGGTGCCTGCCCGCACCCCAGCCTGGTGGAGAAAAGCCTGGGCAGTGCCACTGAGGGCAAGTGCCAAACACATGCCACCACTGCAGCCGGGCACTAGCCAACACAAGCACAAGCAGCACCCAGAGCAAGCCGAGGTTATCCCAGGGAATGTGCAGCTAAACAAGGGGGCACAGGAGAGCCCCACAGGGGGAGCACCCGTAAGTGCTGGCAGCCCTCATGTACACTGTTCCCCATGGGTGCAGCCTGACACAAGAGACACTGGGTCTGGGACACAGCCCTGGCTCCATTCCTGCTGGCTGCTGCATGAATGGGTCACAGCCTGCACCCAGCACATACAGCCCTGCTCCTGCCCACTGGCTCCTGTTCGAGATCAGGACCCACAGCATTGCCTTTGGGGGCTGCAGGCACCCCTCCACATCAGTCCCCCTGGCAGAGGCAGGCAGGGCTATATTCACACAACTCCGGTTAAAGACATTTTATTCCTCTGCATGTTACACCGAGTGTTTAAGAAAATACAGGATCCGTTTTGACATTCATACATTTTTACAGGGGAAAAAATAGGTTTCTCTACGAGGGTGTTATTGAGCTTGGGCACTGCCAGGCTGCCTTCAGCAGGGCCTCACCCCCCTAAGTGCCAGGCCAACCCCTCTGCTCCTGAGCATCCCTGCCCCAGGGCTACAGCCCAGGCTGCAGAGCTCAGGGATCACTTCAAGCTAAAACAACACAGTGCCCAGCATTTCCAGTTCCACTTTCCAATAGCTCCTACACTGGGTACTGTAAAGGAAGAGCTAGGGACAGGGCTTGACCAGACTGCGCACATGAACAGCTAAGAGACCCACGTTAGTGCGTGTGACAGGTTAATCCCACTTGCTAGAAACCTAGAGGGAATATAAATAAGGGTTCCCCACACTCGTGCACGGTCACAAACAGCTACTGGACACGAGGCTGACGCTGCCTCTGAGCGCTGCCGCGTGAGGGGCGGGCAGTGAGGCAGAGCTGCAACGAAGCAAAACCCACAGAGCAGAGCGCATCTACCCATCCAGGGCCACGCTGCCCACCCAGGGCCGTGCTGCCCACCCGGGGCCACGCAGCAGCCTTTGCTTGGCAGGACACAGCTTTGAGCTGTGCCCAGGCCAGTGGCCTCCCCAGGGCAGCAGCACCTGCGTGGTCGTCACTGGAGGCTGCCTCAGGGTGCAAGGACCTTGGTTAAACAGCACTATAGAAAGCAGATCGAAAAAGCAGCTGCTGGGGTAAGATCTGCTGGCCCTGGCGAGTTGCTGCCCAGAGGCAAGGCTGCGGGCCGGGAGGGGGAAGGCTCACTACACGAGGCGTCAGACAGCGAGCGGGCTGCTCCCCTTTGGCAGGGCGGCAGCACATTGGCACTACAGCAGCAAACAGAACAGATGTTACGGAAGCTTCTTCCAAGCACCAGCAGACTCCACTTGGTCACTGCAGGGAGAGATGCACATGGAAAAGAAGTGATGCTCTAAGGCAAAGGCCTTTCTCTTCGGGACCTTGGGACAGCAGCACAGCCAAACACCCCCACTGCCACGTCCCTCACACTCACTGCCCTTCCCACCATCACCAGCTGCCTGAGCACCACCAGCGCCTGCCGTGCTCCAGCCTCCCCAAGCACCAGCCCCGGGGCATCCCGGGCCCTTTCTGCCGCTGGCCTTGCTAAAGGGCTGGTGAACACTGTCCCAACCTTAGGCCTCGCAGGGAGGGGTACAAGGTATGAGCTGTACTGAAGGGAATGGGGAGGAAGTGTCAACAAGAGACGTTGTCAATCCAAGTGGTTCAGGCTCCAGTTCAAGCCGATGGGCGGTTAGCTGGTACCAGGAGAGATTTCTGGGAACTCCTTATAGATCTCCAGGATGATGAGTTTGTCCATCTGGCACTGCTGGTCCTCCTCCTCCTCGCCCAGGATGCGCTGCAGGATGCCCTGCAGGTCGGAAAGGCGGTGCTGGTGCTGCAGATAGGCTGTGGAGCGGATGATGGCGTGCATCAGAGACAGATACTCCATCCTCAGCTGCCAAGTGGGAGGGGAGACAAAACACAGAGCACAATGAAGGATTTAAAGTGAGATAAACAAGCACAGCAGCTGCTGCTGCTCCACCAGTCAGGGAGTGACTCCAGAGGCACCTGCTTTTCCTTAAGGCTCATGAGTAGCTGTGGAAAACCCTGCTTTTCCCCCAGCAGCCTGGTGCTGCTCCTCACCCACTCTCAGACATGCACATCCCTGCCTCTTGCATACAGGGATCCCTCTTACTTCCAATTACTCACATGGGGTCCCTGTTCCCAAATGTCCCTGCAGAAGGGTGCAGACCACCAAAGGCCTGGCAGATCTTTCCTTAAACATGTGTCTCCACTGCTTGGTGCTGGGCAGGATAACAGCCCCCTTCCTCTTCAGCTCCAAGATTGATCTGAGCATCCAGAAGCATCATACCCATACCATGACCCTGCTCATGCCTGCCCCAGCTGGCCCCCACAGAGGACCAAGAGACACACAGTTGCTCTGGGACTCAGCTCCCTGCCCCAGTGCCTGGGGTTACTGCGAGCACCTTGTCTCCTGGGGAGAGATCAGCGATCTGCCGCACCAGGATGTCGATCAGCACCATCATGTCCGTGTGGTAGAAGATGCTGGCTGTGTCCTTGCTGGCAAAGATGTCCTGCAGGAACTTCAGCACCGAGTGCGGGGGCTGAGGCTGATGCTTGAAGATACAAACCGGATCATCTGGGGAAGGCAGAGGGTTCCTGCTGAGCCATCCCCTCCCTGCATCCCAGGGCCTGGAGAGGAACCGGCCCCGGCCCTGGTGCCCGCGGTGCCTCGTGCGGGCAGAGCTCAGTGCCTCGCACAGAACTGCCCAATGGGAGGGATGGAGCTCTGTGGGGCACGGAGCCCAGAGCAAACCCATCAGCATCAATCACTGCAGGTGCTTCACTCACCTCCCCAGGTGAGAGCTCATTAGCACATCACCTCCCTGTGCCCCCTTCAGCTCAACAGCTTCCACCCCTCTTCCCCCTGGTTCATTAGATCTGGTCCAATGACCCCTCCGAAAAGCCCATCAGAGCCTGTACCAGACACAAGCTTTCCCCACAGGGACCAGGCTCGTACCATCCCAGAAAGAAGAAACACTCTCAAATTTAAATGAGCCACCACATCCTGTTCTCTTCCAGAACACATCCCTGCAGACCCCAAGAGGGGCTCTGGAGACTGAAGCCCCCCAGCAGTCATCAGGAAGGCAGGCAAAGGAGATGCATCTTCATTAGGTTGTGGGCCCCTCTTTCTTCTACCAGCCCCCTGCAGTAAGGTGATCCCTGCAGGGAATCTGGCAGGGAAAGGGCTAAACAAAGGCTTTGGGAGGAGGCCAGACAGAACAGCGCTGAGATGCTGGCTGCCCTTAAGCTGATAGAGTGTGGAGACAGTGATTTGCAACCCCAGAGAGAATTAAAGCCAGGCAAAGATGAGCTGCAAGCATCACAGGATGAGTTTTTATCAGCAAATCAACAGAATGAATCTCGGGCAGCAAAGCCCCTGTGCTCCAGAAGGTATTAGAAAGCACAAGAGTGGTGTGCAGCACAGGCAGAACTGCCTGGCACCACTTCTCCTGCAGAGACCTCCAGCCTTCCAGCAATCTGCTTTGCTAAAGCTCTGCACGTTCTGTGGGTTTCACTCTACCTGGAGCAGACACAAAGCTAAGCCTCTGCCAAGCCATTCTGACATGGGAAGGGCTACTCCGGGCAGCGTTTCAGAAGGCAAAACCTCCCTCTGGATCTGTCCCCTGGGGCAGGCGATTGCCAGCACAGGCAGGTCTGTGTGTGCCGGTGCCAAGGGGTCCTGTCTGCCCAAGCACAGGAGGGCTCAGGACCAGGTTTGCTCCCAGACAAGAGCTTGCCCACATTGTAGCCATCCGCAACACGAGTTGGGCTGATCCGAGCCAGGCGCACAGGGACCTGCCAGCCAGAGCCTCCCCTCTCACCCCACGTGCCACCGGCATCACTTGATCCCTTGCGCAGCTCCACCCTCAGCAGCACAGGTCTCAACTCAGAAACCCACAACTCCTCAGCTCCCTGAATCCCCAACACAGCCACCCTTAGTGAGCACAGGGCTCCCCAAGCCTCCATCAGCTGCACACCCCCCCCACACACACACCCCCGCAGTGCCCCAAACACTCACCTCCTCTGTTCAGCAGCAGCAGCAGTTTTTCTGTGAAGGTCTTTACATTCGAGTGCTTGCTTATTGTGGTCATGATCACACTGTGCTCTGGAACTAAGGGAGAAACCTGCTCAGCTCATCCCTTTGTTTCCTCAAGGCCACAATAATAACAACAGATAGCAGAGGGCTCCTGTTCTGCACCAGAGCTCTGGAGAGCTTTGGGGAGCCACAGTCTGTCAGGGGTACGAGAACTCTCAGCCCCACGACATGGCTGAGCAACCAGGAGAGAACACAGCTCATGCCAACGCTGAAGAGCCTGGCCCCAGCACACGGGCATTCAGTGAGCTGCAAGAGGCAGCAGAAGGTTTGCTGAGACCTTTAGACAGTGCAGTGCCTGAGCCTGGGGCAGCTGGGCTGGGTATCAGCACCAGGGAGAGCCAGAGAGATTCTCCCTCCCCATTCTTCACACCCCAGCTCCAAAGCACTGGAATCCTGCCAGGGCAGAGCAGCACCAACTGACCTGGAATGTGGAGGTTGAAGGCCAGCAGGACGTTGACAAATAAGTCAGGCAGCTGGTCAGTGGTGTCTGAGGGCAGCCCGTCCTCAATCACATCCAGCAGGAACTGCACAAACTGAGAGTTGAGATGTTCTGCGCCAGGAGAAAGACACATTTACAGCACTGGGAACACAAACCGAGCAACAGGGGAGTGTGCAAGCCACTTCTCTGGGCTTTTATGCACAAAACCCACCAGCGTAGTGCCAGCATCAGCACCCAGGGAATGAACAACCTGCAAGTGCATGATACAGACCACTGAAGTGTCTTTGTGTGAGGGACCCTGGGCTCAGAACTGCCCCCAAGGCAGGGAAACACTGAGATTTGGTCCCCCACTGGCAGCATTTCAGAGTGAATTAAACACCAAATGCTGCTCTAGCTGCTGCTGCAGCATCACTGCTGCCAGTGAAGGCATCAGGAGGAAGTTTTGTATTCCTGACCACTGGTTTCATCCATCTGTTTTAAAACAGTAGTCATCCCGATCATCAGTACTAACCCAGTTTTCAACGTTGCCATTAGGAAGGCTCAGGAGCTCATGCAAATAAGTCCTGCAGGAAATAACTGCCAGGGTTACCCGAGGAGAGGAAAGCAGGAGGTGTGGGGGCTCATGCCTCAGACTCCACTGCACCAGCTTAAAGCTTGTACGTATGTACTGGGCTATGAGGGTGAAGCTGCTGAGGAGGTGACTTATGAAGATCTCTGCTGCATTTCCAGGAGAAAGGAGCCCAGTGTCCCAGGTACGGGAACACAGCATGGCCTGGGCAAGAACCAGGCAGGGCTTCCTAGCTGAGGGCTGGAATGAAGGGACAGAGTATGAAACAGGCAGATCTGGCACAATGTTGGCACTTTATTGACACAACACCCTTAATCATCTCTGCTGTCCCCGAGGCACACAGGGCTGCAATGTCCTTTTAGGAGGGAGATCAGGAAGAGGCCACATCACACACCTGACAGCTTTAGTGAGTGTACATGGAGCGATGTGGGCTCAGCCTCAGCAGAAGAACAGACATCTCGGGGCGGAGGGGGTCTTTTTACACAGGGCAGAGGTAATCCAAGATGCCACTTAGTCACAGCGATGGACAAATCCACCTCCCCTGCAGCATGGCATTAGTCCTCCTGCTCTGCCCTGGGTCTGTGCTGTCCTCTGTGGAAATCTAGCACCTCAGCCCAGTGTTTCAGCAGCCAGGCTCTGCTGACACAGAGCAGACCCTACCCTTGCCCTGCTGGTGCTGGCTTTCCCCAGCTGTCGCCTCCTTGGCCATAAGGAAAGGTTCCTTCTCCTGTCTGCTGGGACCCCTCAGACGTTTCACATCAGCTCTGCTGTCTCACCCAGCCCTAAGCATCAGCCGCTCTTACCATAGTGATGATAGGGCAGGGGCTCCCCCATGGAGAACATCATGGCCAGAACCAGCGCAGAGTAGCACATCTTCTGATGATCTGAAAGGTGAAGGTCCTGCATTAATGCTCCTGAGGAGCACTGTTTCAACACTGCTCCCCAGCTGCAGCTGGGGTGTCACACATTTAACACAGACATTCAGCACTGGTTGGACTGCTCCTCACCCCTGTGCTTACCGAGCTGTAAGCGTGTTTTGCCCCTGCTCAAGCACCCCCAAGCACACCTTGTTCAAGCACCCCCCTGTGCCACACACTTCCAAAGCAACTGCAAAATAATCACAAGAAGAATCCTCTTTTATTTCCCCTCCACTTGCGAGGATCTGGGCAAACTCAATGTGAATAATTAAAGCCCTCCCCTGCACAGTCTCAGGACACATCCCGTAGTTATGCAATTGCTGAACCCAGAAAAAGCATCCATCTGGCCACTGTGAAATACTGCCTGTTCCCACCAACGCCACCCCCAGCCAGCCCCGCTGCCTGTCACCCACCCACCCCCCCCCCCCCCCGCTCTTTCTGCTGCCACAACTCTGCCTGCAGGTACAAGGGGTCTCTGGGGATACAGATCGCTGCTCACAGCAGGGCCACATATGTATCTCCAGCACTGGCACATCCCACAGTCTCCTGGTCCAGCAGCTTTCCCTGGCAGCAGCTCTCCATGGATGCTCCACAGAAGCACAGCCAGTGCCCTTCCTGAATCTGAATTAACAGATACATCTCAATAGATACTTATAGGAGAAAAAACAAAATCATGGACTAGGATCTGTGTCATCACCAAATGTTATCTCCAACCAGTTCACCAAGTCCAAAGATGGAAGGAAAAGGAGCATCAATTTTATAAGGTAGGTCAGCACACATAGTGCCTAAATAAAGTTCAGCTTCATCTGATCAAGGGGCTCTTGCTACAAGAAAACTGAGGGTGTATTTATAAAAAACTGACCAAAGCCACTTTTCACTAAAGGAGAAGAAAGTGCCTTCAATGTACGATGCTTCTCCCAACAGCTCTGCTTCCAGCACGACACATGCTGGTTCCCAATGTCTGTGCACAGACTGATCCCTCCCTGAGCATCTGCATGCTGCAGTCTGGTTGTGACTGCTCAGGCTGATGCCTTCACTGTCACCACCTTGCTCCTGGACTTGGCCAAAGGACGTGCAGCACTTGGCAGCTCTCAGGTGCACAGTTAGCATGGGGGGGGGGGATTGATAGTGACTGGTTCCAGCCTCGTGCCTCCAGCTCTGTGAGCAAAGCCTCTACAAACACAGGACACACACACTGTGCCAGAGCTCCACAAGATGCCGGAGTTTTCAAATAGCAAATCTTTGAGTAAAAATAGATCATTTGGGGCTTAAACAGAGATACTACAGCATTAACAAGATTAAGAGTTTGTAGAAGAACACTCTAGACCATGTGGCAGCAAAGGGAAGCTGGAAACTGCTGTTTACTCTTGGTAAATAGAGAGGGAGGATATTCAGTGACTGAAATATAACTCACACTTACATAAGAAGCTCTCAGCTATGAGGTGGCAGCGATGCCAAGGCTCACTGCAGCAGAAAAAGAATCTGACAAACTGTTTAGCACATGATTTCTTCATTCTTCCCTCCATGGCTTCAGGAGCTGGGTATCAGCAGCAGGATGCTGCAGCAGGCAGACACAGGGACCTGCTGCTCCTGCTCCTAGCGAGGCTTGCATGAGCAAAACATTTTCTGTCATCACATCAGGAGCAGTGAAATAATGATCTGAGAACCAGAACCCAGCGATGTACATGTGGTTCTAGCAAATAAGGAGGAAAAGATTAACTAGAGATGGGAGGGGCAGGTAGCTCTACACATCCGTGATCCATCTGCCATGAGCTGAAATCCATTCATCTCGGCTGGCAGCAGACTCCATGACTAGATGGGAAATCTTGTCCTATTTGCCTGAGGATGCCAAAGAAAGGGTGCTGAAAACAGCCAGAAAGCTGAACTCGGGACAAATCCACATTAACCTGGTGCACTCGCTCAGCAGCTTTTGGAGTGCCCCAGCTGCAGCAAGACACATCCAAGACGCCCCATGCAGAGGAACAGAGTAATTGCCAGGCAAAGCACAGCTTTTTCTATTCCTTCCAGAGCAGCATCAGTGGCTGCATCAGTAGGACTCTGCTGATGACAGGGTGATGAGCATCCCTCAAGTGATGCCACTTCAAGTGACTGTGGAGGGCAGGAGAGATGCAGCTCTCTGCTCCCCAGCCTGCACTTCCAAAGCCTGCTGAGGTACTGGTGAGAAAGCTGCTATTACCTATGAGAGGTATTTCTCAGAGGCCTTCAAAGCCCTTGTTCCCACCCCTAACCACAGCAGTGCACAAGCCAGTCCCTGGGAGCAGACACAATGGTCTGCAGCTGAAGCGACCAGAGCCCAGCAGCTGACTTGCACTCACCCTGAGCTGCAGCACAGGAGAAAGTCCCGGTTCCAGACTGGATTATCTGTTTTCTTTGGAGTTCTCCTGGCTAATTCTGCCCTGCTGTGGCTTATTATAAGCTCCTCTAACCCTGACAGATGTGCAGGGAAGCGCAGCAGAGGGAAGGGCTGTCCAGGAGCAATAGACCGAAGCATCTGGCAGCAGAAGTGGCCAGCAGCCAGCGCGCCTGCAGCAGCCCCAGGGCAAGGTGCCTGCTCATCAAAGGCGCCAGCATCCAGCACAGAGCTGCTGCCGCGGCTGCTCTTCAGTAACAAGCCAGGAGGGATCCCAGAGCTGCTGCAGCCAGCTCAGCACTCCCTGGCTGCTGAGCGCTGGCACCGACCGCTCTGGCCCCTGCTGCCGCAGAAGGATTAGCGATTCCGCGGCACGTCACGGATCAGCTGCTATTCCCCAGGTTTTAGTACCAAAATAAGCTCAAGTCAGTCTGGATTCAAGGTCATGTTTTCACACTTGCCATTTGCTGGCAGGACATGGAGCGCTAAGCACCAGGGCGGTAGGAGGGAACTACTAATGCCCTAAAACACCTCTGAAGGACAGATGTGTTTGGGTTGAGGATGGTTCCGTCGCTGCAGCCTTGCTGTGAAGGCCAAGAGGGCTGGAGGACACAGAGATGATGTGTGCAAACATAAGCCCGGCACAGCAGGCAGCATGGGGTCAGGACACCGGTCTGGGAGGCGCCTGTAACCAAAGGCTGTCAGCAAAGGGTGAGCAGCTTTTCACCCTTCAACTGCACTGCCTGTGTATTACAGCAAGGAGGGAAAGAATCCACTACGTTGAGATGAAGCTCAGGAAAGAAGAGCTGCTGCAGGGCTGCAGCTCGAAGGACACAGCAGAGCCACTTTTCACTGCAATGCTCTTGAGGTCTCCAAAGCAGAGCTAACACTTGCTGGGAGATAGCCCTGCTTCAGCCACAAGTGCTACCTGCAGAAGTCAGCCAGGTCAGAGCTCACTGCTCCATCACACCAAGAGCCTGAGCTCCCTGTGCCATCTGGGAGGACGCAGCCCTGGACAGCACGGAGACCAGGCAGGAGCCCTGCTGCACAAGGGAGCAGAGCAGGGCACTGAGGCCTGTTTGAGCATGGTGCACAGAACCCTCACCCAGAGACAATCTTTATGAATTAGTGATGGATGCATGATGAAGCTTATTTTTGGCAGTGCTAAATCGGGAGTAATGTCACCACAGAAGCACAGTCATAGTCCCATAACCAAGTATTATCTGCTGCTAGGGCAGTGAAACCTCAGCCTAGGGAAGAAGCTTCTCATGCATAACCAGATAAAACATGAACCTTGTGATAAGCTCACTGCATAGAACTGATAAGCAGCGGCAGCACAAAGGGAAAGCACCAACGTGGTGGTGCCAGTCCTGCACCACACCACCAGTGCTTCACCCTGCCCCCAAACACTCCCTGTATTTGACATCCCCCCTTGGTGCAGTGGTGCAGGAAGGGTCCTTTCCTTTAACCAGCACACATCTCATTCACCAGCAAGAAACACTGCAAAGACATGGCGTAAAGTGCTAAGGAAAGCTGCCAATAAGAAGCTGCAGAGATTTTCCTTAAGATGTGCAAGAGTCTCTTGTCAGCAGCATGAAACAAAACTGGAATAGCTCAAAATGTGCTTTAAGACATCTACAGGATCATCATTAGCGGCATGTTCAAGAGCCAGAGGACCTTGTACCACTGGACTGAAGCATCCCCTCCATGCATTCTCCACTTAGAGCTGTAGGAACCCAAATAACTTAAAACCAGACGCCCTTCTCCCCCAAGCACTGGCATGTGGAGCAGTCAGACTACAAGGGGCCACCAGTGCTGCTGGAGGTCACCTAATGACAGACACGTTCCTAGGGAGCGGGGTACAGCAGCCCTGGCTCACCTTGAGTGTGAGTCTGCATGTCCCGGGCCAGCTCCATGGGCAGCACTGAGTTCACGAGTGTCGAGATGACCGCAGCATCCAAGTTGCACATGGCTCCAAAGCACTTGAGCAGCAGCAGCCGCAATGGCACCCTGTGCTCCTGCAGAGGCAATCACTGGATGAAACAATGTCCCAGAGGAGGGCTCATGCTCAGGCAGAGACATAACTGGCTGGAAGTTCCCGTTGTCAGGAAGCCACAGACCCTCCCAGGGGAACAGTGTAGAAGCTGTATGAGGTTTTACCAGTAGTGCCAGATGAAAGCCAACCACCACAAGGCTTGATGTGCTGTAGCTGGGGACTTACGGACATGATGGGGACAAGTTTCTAACCCCCCCAGAGTCCTACAACAGCACTTTCCAGGAAGCTGAGGGGCAAAGCAACACCACACAGGCACTGAAGGCAAAACTTCCATTTCTTCCGCTGAATATTGATTTCCTTCCTCACTCCCAAGGCTCCTACTCACAACCTACTTTCCTAAGCAAAGCTATTTACTAATGCACGGGAGTGCATCAATTAAAGGAGAAGCAGTCACAGCCTGTCCGCTTTCCCAGGGCATCCTCAGAAATCCTTCCTCTGGATACCAGCGATGCCAATCCTGTCCCTCAGCAGAGCTAATGAGAGCAGCAAACTTCACCTTCTGTAGTGCAGGGACCGCTGCGAAGTCTCTGGCACCCTCTGCTCTCCCACCCAACCCACATGCACAGCACTGACACCAGCCAGCAGGCAGGTGATGCGCTGCAGCTCCTGCTGCTTCACAGAACCGCCCTGCCCAGGAGGAGGTCTCACATCTGTGCGGCACAGCAAGCCTGGCCCTGCCCCTGCAGGGCAATCCCAGGGGAGATTCGATGCCTTCTACCACCTTACCATCTGGTAATAGGCCACAAGGGACAGGACGGACTCAAACTCATTCTTCTTGCACATTTTCTTGCACACTTCTGGGTCTGCATCTGTCTGGAAGCAGGAATGAACAGGTCAGCCCAGGGGCACACCAAGCAGCAAGGACCTGGAGGAAGGCCAGCTGCTTTCACATCTCAGTAGCCCAACCACCTCTCAAAGGAACTGAAGGCAGAGCACCAAGGCAGCTCAGGAACCTCCACCCTGCAGACTCTGCATCAAAGTGAATTCCTGAGAAGTGTCTCTGCCACGCAGCACGTTTGGGCTGAACATCTGAAAAACCCATGACCTGAGCAGCACCTGATGAGTGCATCCTGCAGTCACAGGACAGCTCCATCACTATTGCCATCCTGACAAGTATTATGCATCTCCTCCCAGCCCTAAATGATGAGGAAAGGTCACACAAGATCCCCCTCTACCTTGCCCCAGAGGCACACAGAAGGCAGCCCATGCTGAGTGACAGACACCAAAAAAGAGCTGTTGTGCTTATGTCAGAGCTGGGAAGGGATACACAATAGGTGCCAGAGCAAAGCCCGCACCAGCACCCATAACACAGACCGTGTTGCTGCACTGAGTGGCAGCTCCTGTATCATCACGTTCCCTGCACACAGACGGGCAGAATCAGACTTCCAGGGTTTCTCTGGGAGGTTGGGGTCTTTGGGAGGTGTGGGTTTATGTTCCCCTGTGATTGGTAAATACCACGGCTGCCACGAGAGCAGCTCTAGAAGGACCTTCAGAACAGCTTGGAAAGGTGGAATGGAAAGCAGGAGCTCTGCACCCCACACACAGGAGGGCAGGGCCTCACATCAGCGGCAAAGAATCCACCAGAAACCTATGGCCTCAAACAACAGATCCGATGGCAACACAGGGCAAAGGAGGGCAGAAAACAGAGCTTCACTGGGAGCATCTGCTCTGCTCTGCCTACAAAGAGGGAGGTTTGCTCACCAGGATGCGGAGCAGCTCCTCCAGGTAGCAGCAGATGACGTTCTCGTCCTCGTAGAGTGCCCAGCTGCGCTGCTGAGCATCATCCTTGTGCCTGGCCAGGTCTGCAAAGATCACCTCCAGGCGCTGCTCGTCGTGGCAGATCTGCCCCGAGGGCAGCCCCGCACTCAGGTTCTGCACGACAGCAAAGCGCAGGTTAAGTGGGGTCGGGACCGTGGGTGCCCGTTTCCTCTCCCCCCCTTTGTCTCGGGACTGGCAGCTGACCTCAGTCAGCCAAGAACTGGCAGCAGAAACCCAGCGAGTTTAAGCCACGTGTTACTGCAGCTCTCGTACTCCCGGAGCTCTACCCACCTCCTTCCCTTGCACGGCTAATGCAGTGAATGAATCTAAATAGGTGCCAGAACTGGTGTGCGGTCAGACAGCCTTGAAATCCGAGCTGCCACCATCCTGCTGGAGGATGTTAAAGCTGTCTTCTGAGGATGTTAAAGAACCCAAGAAACCTCACTCAAAGCTACACCCCTCTCTTCTTACTGCATTTAGCAACCTAGGGCTTTTGGAGGAGCATTTTAATGATCGTTTTAACGATCACTCCATTCAGCCTCTTATCACTAATCTACTTTCTCCAATCCTTCATCCTCAGCCTTTACGACTCCACTGAGCACCAAGTTCCTAATGGGCTCGGATGAGATCAATCCATTATCAAGCTCTTCAGCCCACTGCTGTAAGTACACCACGCACCACCTCAGGGCACCCTCAGCACCACTCTCAGCACCACCCCCCAGGGGTCAGGTGTCTGCTTATTAAACATCTTGGCAGCTGCTGGAACCTGCAGCCTCCTCATATGGCTCTTGCCAGGAATCTGCTGAAGAACCCAGGAGCAGGAGGAGGTTTTGGTATCTCTAACGGTGCCTCTTTGCCTCATGCTGCTGCTTCAAACAGCTCCCTCCTTCCAGCCCAGCAGAACAAACTGCTGCAGGGGTTTTGCTCCTTCTCCAAACACTCTGGGAGCCTCAACGCACCCACACTGCTCTGCGGTGGTCACACCAGCCATGCAAGCCCAGCACCATCCTGCCAAGCTCTTCCTCCCCTTCCTTCCTCACTCCACCAGCCACACGGTGGATCACCAGGGCCATGGGTGCACACACCCACCTGCAGTTTTCCTCCAGACGAGCACAGGCCTATCTCAGGTAAACCATACAGCAGCTCTTTAGAAGCTTTTCAGTGGGGTTGCCCTGGGAGTTCTCCCTTCTCTGGGCAGCAAACTGCTGCAACCACAGCACAGCACCGTGTATAAACACCAGGTGGATAATGCTGCTCTTGGGCCACTAAACCTGATTCCCTTGGCAGCATGTTTACCCCTAACACCTTCCCTTTCTTTGGGATCTCACCACACTTCCCATTCCAGACATCAGGAGTGCTCACTGAGCTCACAACACCCTCTGCCTGGTGCCAGGCTGCAGCAGCCCCTGGCATTACCTTGCTCTCCACCACAGAGATGAGGATCTGCTCCATGATGCTGCTGGTGGCCGGGACGGAGGTCTGGATGTGGCCGATGACCACGCCGATGGCCACGCGGGACAGCTCGTAGCTGAGGTGCGTGTTCCTGCGCACCAGCTCAATCAGTTCAGCCCCTATCGTCTTGGGCACGGACACTGCCAGAGCACTGGGCTCTGCTGCCAATGACTCTGCCATCTTCTTATCCTCCAGGCAGAGGGTGCTGAAGGCGTCCAGGCCCGCAGCGGGCACCGGGGCAGCTTTCTTCACCTGAGCAGCCTTCTCCCCATCCACGGCATGGGACCGGTGGGACCCCCCCTCAGCCGGCGGTGCCGGGGCAACCCTCTTGGACTGGGGGGATTTGCTGGTGCCGTCCTTGGAGGAGGAGCCGTGGCGGGAGTGGGCCACGGAGCCCGTGTCCAAGTTGCGTGTGATGGTGGTGTGGACGCTGCGGCTGGGCACGGGCGGCGGGGTGGTGGCAGGGCTGGAGGCGGCCGTGGGCAGCGCGGTCTCCGATGCGGAAGAAGCGGTGTACAGGGTATCCAGGGACGTGGTGCTCACGGAGGAGGCACTCGAAGCTGACCCAGAGATAATTTCAACAGCGCCTGAAAGGAAACAATGAAAACCGCCTCAGTGACAGCACCAAAGGAACAGAGAAAACACACATTGCTCCGGTGCAGCCCATTAAACGGCTCATTGTGCACGGGCCAGAACAGTTTAACTCCTCTTCCTGCCTCACTTATCTCAAAGCAAAATTGGACCAGTTCTTTCTGGAGCATTCCCACACAATCACCTCTTTAGAAAGGGCAAAAGTGCTCTATTGAGATGAATACCCTTCAAAGGGCTTCCTGTTTTAGGCAGGGAAAGGGAGGGAGGGACCCCACTAAGGGACAGAAAAGTCTTTTCCCCCTGGCTTAGCAAGGGCCTGTTCCTGTGCTTGGCATCTCAGCCCTCACTTCTGAAGGATGGTGCTTGGGAGCTGCAGGACCCAGAAGGTTTCCCTCACCCCTCGCTGACCACAGCCACAGCTGGCACTGACGGGGAAGCTGACAACACCTCCAGTCTCTCCCTCTCATCACCTCCAGCATCTCATCATGAACCCTGCTGGCATCCACCGCTTTCACCAGCCTCCACCTTATCTGCTTTACTGTGTTTCTCCCAGCTCTAGTCCTGAGCAGCTCCAGCAGTGGTACCTCCCCCACCAGCCAAGGCAAAAGATCCACTACAAGCAAAGGGATGCTAAGACTTTTCTTTCCTTTAACCTGGTCTAATATGCAGTTTTAGTAAACCTTAACCATTAATTTCCAGGGGGCAGAAATGTATTTGAGTCCTAAGAAAACAGTCGCTTGGGCAAACCCTGGGTTACCTTCACCTAGAGCTTCACGTGAGTGCTGAAAGGGGAGAAGAGCACTCAGGGGTTCTCCCAGCTCTCAGGGAAAGGAGCTCCCCTTCCAAAGGAAGGACCAGTGGTATGTGAAACACCTTTGCGAGCCCTCCACTGCTCCATCCATCACCCCACCCTAAGGCAAGCATAGGCCAGGCAAACAGGGCCCTTCCCTCTCACAGGGGATCATCATCCCTCTTTTTTCCTCCTCCTCCTCACAGTTCTCATGAGTCACCGCTCCCACCATGCTTCATTAGCTGGAGATAATGAGCTGAAGGAAGCTGACCTTTGCGAACTCCTACCTCCATAGTGAAAAACATGGCTCAACACCATTAAGTACCCGCAAATAAACTGGTGCCAGCCCCAGGTTTCAATTAACTACCTGCAAGTCAGCAGCTCTGCCTGCTCCTCACACAGGCACATGAGTGAGCTTGAGACGGGCTGAGTGACACTGTGACTGTCACAGCACAGCAGAACACAGGTTAGTGACAGCAACTTGGAAGGATGACCGCAGCCTCCATCAGCCCAACTGCACTGATGATGGAGAAGCTCCTGCCCCAGCCCTGTGGTCCTGCTCTCAAGTGCTCCTGACTATCTGCTCCCTGCCTATGAGCAGCACATGGGCATCTGTGTTCCTGCTATTAATGCTGCTCCCCGCTGGCACCAGCCACTGATTTCATGGAAACCCCACCTGAGCACTGCACAAGGAAAGCACCTGATAGACTGGGAGGCAAAAGCAAGCTAGAGCCTGTTCTAAGAGCTACCAGTGAGCTCCCCAGGTGAGCTGCCACACTGGACTGCCAGGGAAGAGCCTCTGCCTGGCTGGGGGATGGCCATGGTGGCTGCGGGAGAAAAACACCCGCAAGGACCTTAAACTGCCGTGGCTGTGTGCTAGCCAGGCCAACCGCATCAGCAGGCAGATGTTCCACAGGGCACCGGCACCACAGCACCAGGATGATTCACCCGTCCACGGGCACCAGACTGCCCAGACCCTCCCACAGCAGAGAGGGTTTGAAGGAGCACTGGCCACCAGCTCATGGTCATTAGCATCAAAACCTGTAGGGGTTTAGGAGATACGTGTGCATATACATGTAAGAATATAAAACTTGTAGGAATTTAGGATGTGTGTATGGATATATATATGTATACATAAAAGGATGCTCTTCTAAGCACAAAGCAAAAGCACGCGGGCACTGTGACTGCTCCATCGCCCAGTGTCCATCTGTGCCCGAGGTTTAGGAATTGCCTTGTCCTTACTTTTCCCAGGGTGAGCCTGCGCGCTCCTGCGCTTCTCCGGAGGCGGGGGGGTGACAGGAGCAGCGCGCCGGGGCTGTGGCGGGATCTGTGGGGGAAGATGCAGAGCAGTCAGAGGAGGGTGGCAATAGAGACGTTCTCGGTTATGAAACCTCCTTTTGGCGCGTGTGCATTTGTCCTTACAGCTCTCATCACTCGGGGAAGTTTTCTCAGGAGGACAGATATTAATAGGCGGCTTCCTAGAAGAACAAAGCAGGACTCAAGCTGGCTTCATCCCCTCCCTGTGACAGGCAAAGCAGCCCTTGTTTAATTGCTGTGTTCAGCAGCACGCAGCACACACGTTGTGTAGACCTGTCAAGTGTTTACTCCTCCTTTATTCCACACGCAATCCCACACGCTCACTGTGCCTCCACATTCCCCTCAATAGCCCCGCAGAGGCTGGGAACAGAGCATGTATTTAGGCACTCTTCTGGAGAGATCCATTACATCAGCCACAAACACCCTTGCAGAAAGACAAAGCCAAGGGCTGGAGCCATGTAAATGCCTTTTCCATGCTTCCAGAGCTATTTCTGCTCATGCAGGGAGAAAACAGGGCTAGACCCTCCGAGCAATCCTAGAGCAAGATGCAGTGGGAGAAGCTTTTGCTGGGGGTTGTGCTGGCTCTCCACACCTGGGGTTTCTCCTGTAAGTCAAGGGGTACCAAGGCAGCAGGAATCTGTCTCCAATGCAGATTTCTACACTCACCCTTTCCTGCGAGACCCAAACACCATGGTCACCAACACCACTTTCACCCAGGACTACTCCAGTGAGGTGTAACCTCAGGGATAACCCTGATCAGGAACACCCCCTGCCTGCAGCAGCGATGCGAGGTGGGAGCACACGGCATCAACACTCAAGCCACCACACAGTGCCAGCCTTGCAGGGGTTTTAGCCCTGGAAGAGGAGTTTTGCTGAGACCTGCCAGTGTTGCCAGCGCTGCAGTGAAGGGCTGAGGCCCTGGAAGGTCTCCATCTGAAACAGCTCAGACCAAGAAGGATGAAAAATGTATTTCTTTTATTCCTGGGTCTGGGAAGGCAGAAATCTCCCCTGGAATGGGAGCAAAGCTATTCCTGCAAGACAGACATCTTCAGGATGTCACATTCAAGATGCAATGCCAGAAGCTGACAACACAGCGTCCACAGCCCATGCCTAGACCCGACCAGGCAAGTGAAGACACAGGAGAGTGCACAGCGAATCAAGGCTGTTACAAAGGGACCTCTCAGCCCCCTTCTCCCACCCACACCCAACACACCCAGCCTTCTACTGTGTCAATGTAAGAGGTCACCTCTTTACAAGCCCCTTCAGCTGGTGGGTTAGTACGAGGTACCACTGCAGGCACCCAGCCTGAGCTCTGCTGCTCCTGTCAATCCACCCTGCATTGTTCTCAGGGTAAAGTGCTACATGATATGTGCATCCAGCCCCAAAAATGATCCATGTGGGTCCAAAAAGAGATTGCACAGCTGAGAGAGGCCAAAACAGCTCGGGAGGGGCCTCTGCACCGCATGGCTGGAAGGAAGGCTGGTCCCAGAGCTCAGCTGTGCTCAAGGCAGAGCCCTCTCTGCAGAGCAGGAGGGTCCCAGCATGCTTGGGGCTCCCAGCCCAGCAGGATTTAGCCCCGTAGCTCCAAGCAGGCACATGGCAGTGTTGGAGAGAGCTGAGGCTGGGTGGTCCCAGAGCACTTCCATGGCTTCAGGAGCCCTTGCAAATTGACCACGCAAGTTTAACCCAGCTATTGCAGGCTGGTGCTTACGTTAATAGCTGTGAGCTAATGTTAGCCCAGAGCCCCGCCAGCATCAGAGCCACGCACCCCAATCCGAGCGCCATGGTGAGAGCCTGAAGCATTATATGAATTTCCCTGTGCTGGTGCTGCCCAAACTATGAGCCCCTGCACGGTCAGGAACCACCAGGGACAACCAGGGGCCATTCCCTCCCTCACCCCACATCCTAGCCAAGGTGTGGGGCTGAGGGGAGGATGAACAACACCAAAACCCCCCAAAGGAAGGGGAAGGAAGGGAAGAAAATGTCCTCCCCCCCAACGGGGAATCAGCACTGGGAATGGGCTGTAAGGAGCTCCATTTGCTTTGCCCACCATGCACCGGTGTGAGAACGGAGCTGCCCAGAAAGGAAAACTAAATGAGAGAGCAAAGTGGAGTGAGCAGGGATTGGTGCTGTGCCTGAACCAGAGCTACTTTTCACCTCTGCTGACCCACAGCTCTCCAAGTGTAAAACAAGCCTCATCTGGGACTGACAATGTGTGTCACACCTCATCACCATGCCTCCAACCACTTATCCCAGGGACATGAAGAAAAACCACAGTGCACACATTCAGCTGGAGGGGAAAACTATCTCTGTGCTCATTCTCGCTTGGTGCCGTTACCCCTGACATCCAGCTACATCCACACAGTGTCATCAGCCACATCAACTCATCCCCAGCCACTGCATCCACCCTGGGATACTTCTCTGAAGCCTCATGGGCACTGCACGGAGACCTTGGGACTGTGTGCCACTGAGATAAAACAACCTGCTCTAAACCATGCTTCCTGCAATTCACCTTTAATTCATCACGACAAGCAACATGCAGACCAAGCAGCATCTTTGGGGGTTTTATATTTTCAGTAGTACAAATAGGCAACCGCAGGAGATGAAATACTGCAGGACCAAGGATCTCGTTGTGCGGATCTAACGAAGGGCAAGCAAAGCCGTGCCAGGTGCTCAAGGGAGCTCTGCTGCTCACCTCAAAACCGTCCTTCAAGCTCCAGCGGGCTTGCAACTCTTCTGTCAAGAGACGGTCACGCAATGTAACGTGGATCTCATGTGTCACCGTAAAACCACAGACCCTCCAGGATCCCAAAAAGCATCGCCAGTGTAAATGGCAGAGGGACCATCCCTGACCTCTTACAAAGGGACAGCATCAGCTCGCACTGCAGTAATGGCAGCACAAACGCCGGATTTGTGACTTCAGCTACAAAGTCCTTCTGTTCAACAGGACAAGCCGTGTGCTGCCACCAGAGGAACCAAGAAAGCGCCCAGGCACTGTTACCTGATAGAGACCCTCATCGTCCTCCTCCACCTCGGTGTTGGGCAGGCTGTGGTGCCGCTCATACCCGGTCCGGCACACACCATTGGGCTGCCGCGCCACGTCCAGGTGGTGGTCGCTGGAGGACTGTGTCATGACCATCCCCTGCGGGCTGGGGGAGTGCCCTTTGCGGGACACCGTCTCCTTCCGGTGATGGATCAGCTTCCTGGAACACAGCGGCCACATCAGGAAGAGCAAAGTGAAAGGGACTGACCTTGCTGCAATGTTCAAGTGATATTTTTAATGGTTTATAGCACTTGGGCTATATATATATATATGTACCAGAACGGGTTACAGTACTTAAAACACCAACTCTGGTTTCATTAACAACCAAGGAAGCACTTCTGGGGGAGGAAGGAAGAGGCTTTGCCAGAGCCCATGATTTATTCATTAGTTTGCTGGATTAAAAATGCCTCTTCCTCGGGGGAGAGTCACATATTGCATCGCCAGCGTCAGGAACTGCCGGCACTTCAGACTCGCTGTCCAACCGAGATTAAACCAGCGGTCCCCAGCACAGCCCGAGGTGCCAGAGAAAAACAAAATGCTCCTCACAAGCAATTATCTGAGCACACATTAAGGACCTCGCGTTATGTGCCAACAGCCTCTGCAATTGCTGCCTGGTAGAGAGGAGAAAATGCATCCAGAAAGGTTTTGGATTTCTCCTCCAGCCCCATAATGCAGCTGAGAGTTTCCTCTTTACATGCACAGGGATAGAGGGGCCACACCAAAGCTCTGCTTTGCTGGGTGCTGTTTGACAGGAGGAGCAGCACCGGCTGCCAGCGCAAACACTGGGACACTGAATGCAGCAGCACTCGCAGCACAGGGACTCAGATCAACGGCATCCCACTTGATTCCCAAGACACAGACACAAGCATCACACCCTGACCACCCTCCACCCGCTCACTCTCCCAGGCACCCATTGCACTCACTGGAGGACATCCCTCTGCTCCAGGTTGTACTTCCCTCCATTCTTCATGGCCGCATTGTGCACAGCCTCAATGGCGCGGTCAATTGACTGGAGAACCACATCTTGCTCCAGCACCTGAGAAAATAACACAACATCCCACGTGTTACTGCACTGCTGCAGCTGTGGCCCTGTGGCACCAGAGCTTAGGGCACGAGAAGCCGTGGCAAACCCCCAGAGCCAGCCCCGCACCAGGCAATGGCCTAAAAACAGCTCCCAGAGCCAGAGCCCCAACCCAGAACCATCACACTTTTCCCTCCTTCTTCCAGAGGAAACATATTTGAACCCATGCTTCAAACTGAGTCTGCCTACTCAAGGTTAATGGTTGGAAAAGAAAGTGACTGCTACAAGCACCACAGTCCAATTACCCCTGCAGGAAGACCAGGGACAGAGCCTCAGGACCATGCAGCAGCCTTGAATATTCAGCCCACTGCAGGGAGGTTTCAAGATCCCACTGCAAAGCCCACCTTACCCCAAGCTCAACTGTTTCTGCTCTTGCTGCCCTGCTGGGGAACAAAGGCACAGCTGTGGACATTACAGACCCAAACCTGGTGGCCTTTGGAGTCTGTTGGCTCTGGGTTTGCGTTTTCACTTGCTTTTTTTTCGTGATGGTTGTTTTGCAGCTTGAAGTGCCTTTTCCAAATCTCCACCCAAGCTGTCATAGCAACATTTATCCCTCCTGCCAGCCCGTTTAACTCTGCTTACTGCAGCTGAAATAAACACCAGCCTCGAAGCAAGAACAGCGAAGACATCGTTCCCTGGGCTGGGAGAACTGGAGTGAAGGGGCACAGGAAGGAAAAGCAGGCTCCCACAGCTGGGGCATTCCTCAAGGCTTTACCAACAGCTGACGAGCCTTCAGAAGAAAACACCTTGATGGGACTGAAGGCAAGGAACAAGTGCTGAGTTTGCCCTGGCTCCAGCAGACCCACAGGGCTCCCACAGGCTGTCAGGGATCTCTGCACCACTGCTGGGTACCAGCGCCAGCAGCCTCAGCCCCTGAGGACAGGGAGGAGCGGAGCACTCAGACCCCACCTGGTTGAGCACTGAAACCCTCTTCATCCTCACTTGCTGTGCCCCCCTCCCTGCACCACAGCATCCATCTACCCAGCCAAGGAGTGGCAGGAATCTCATCAAGGATCCACCTTAATTGGCCTTAGGAGGCTGCAGCAGGCGAGCCCTCCCCACGGGGCGGAGGCACGGCCTCCACAGCACCCCCAGCCCAGCCGCTGGTAACGGGCAATGTATTATTTATAGCCTGATTAATTACAAACATGAATTAACAGCTACTGCAGGCTGGGGGGAAAACCATCCCCTCCCCCCCCCCCCCCCCCCCCGGGTGGTAGGAGCAGCCCCTCTGCAATACTCAGCCTTGGACACGAAAAATTTAGGATAGGTTTTTTTTGTTGGTTTGTTTTCCAAGAAAGAGAGATGGGAGAAAGCAACTGGGACAATGTTAACAATACAGCCCAAATTTAAGGTATCGGATCCAGGGCAAACCCAACACTCAGCACCCAACTTCAGGATGAAGCCCCTTACAGCCCCATATGGCGTAGGGAGCATTTCATCACCTCCAACCACAGACCTAAGCAAGGAAACGGAGCAAAGAGCATTGGAACACATTTAGAGGTGCGCTGGAAGGAAAGGCAAGTTATTTCAGAGCACGGATCTCATTTTCTGAGAAAATGAGGACAAGCTGCACGCTTCCTCTGGGGAACGGCAGCAGCAGAAGTCTCCAGGGCTCTGCTCCCAGGGGAATGGCAGCACTGCTCGGAGCACCAAGACATCATCCACATCCCCCAGGAACCCAGGGCTGGAGCCTGCCCGATGCCATTTGTTATGGAGAGGGTGCTTCTTTCCTGATAAAACAGCTCTTTCACACTAATGCAGCCACGCTGTGACAACCGGCTTTTAGCTGCTGCACTCTTTTCTTTGTTCCCACTCCCCAACCCCCTATTAATGGGGCCCTGTCACAAGGGCTGGAATAAAAAGCATTAACTTGCCACTTTCAGTTTATGATGGGGTGGATGCTGACTGTAAATCATCTTCCCCCTTGCTCAGCAGAGCTGGCTGGAGCAGGGTCACAGCACTGGGGGTTTGCAGGACACCCAGCACTGGGGGCCAGCACCAGAGACCGAGATGAGCTCTTAGGCAGAAGCTCTTCCCTGTGAGGGTGCTGAGGCGCTGGCACAGGGTGCCCAGAGAAGCTGTGGCTGCCCCATCCCTGGCAGTGTTCAAGGGCAGGTTGGACACAGGGGCTTGGAGCAAGCTGCTCTAGTGGAAGGGGTCCCTGCCCATGGCAGGAGGTGGAACTGGAGGAGCTTCAAGGTCCCTTCCAACCCAAAGCAAGCTGGAAGTCTGTGATTCTAAGCCAGCAGCACGGTAATGGGACAGAGCCTGTGAGCTCTGTGGCAGGGGCTGGTGCTCAGCAGTCAGCTCTCACCACAGGACCCTGCCCTCTCCCACGCTCCAGGATGCAGAGATGAAGCTCTGCTCATCGCCACTGAGCTGAGGCTCACACAGAAGCAGGGTGCCCTTTTCATGTGCTTTGCTGCTGTCAGAGGAGACGTACCAAGTAAAGCCCTGGAATTCAGTGGGATTTACTGAAGCTGGGCTGGGAACCACATGGAGGGGGCTGGCAGAGCCCCAGCACTGCTGTATCCTTCACCAGCTTCCAGCTCACCACTGGCACAGCCAAACAGCGAGTCCCAGAAGGATGGGATATGGGAGTGCCAGTGGCAGGGAACCAGCCACACGTGCCCCAGGGGTGGGCACAGGGTCTCCTTGGTTGATGCAGGTGGCACAGCACCATGGGCAGCAACAGGACAGCACCTTCTGCCCAGCGTACTGGGAAAACTGAGGGCTATTCAGTGAGGTATCACCCCCATTGACGTGGTACATCACCCCAGAGGGAGCAGCTGCCACTCGTCAGAGATTCCTGCTTTAATCCAATCGAACTCTGCAGCACAGGAACGCTGGGAGCTATGAACAGCCTGCAAGGACCGGGCTCTGTGGGAGCAGAGCAGTGACCCTGGACAGGCTGATGGGGCAGGGTGCTGGAGAACCAGGGCAGTGCCAGCATCAGCATCCTGCAGGCGAGCTGCTGGTAGGAGCAAATCACAGCTCAATTAGAGCCAGGAACATCAGCTGGGAAACAGAATTTCTTCCTTCACAGCCCAGTGTAGGAGAATCACAGAAGCATCAATAAATCATTACTTCCTCTCTCCTTGCTAATAACACCAGCAAACAAAGGGCTTCCCCAGAGCCTGCTGCCAATTTCCTCCTGCCCCTGATGAGGGCAGCTCTAGAGCTCAGCACTGCCTGGGGTGCTCCGCATCCCATCCTGAGGCCAGCAGGAAGGATGCCTTCCCCGTGGCCAAAGCCAGGCTGCTCAGCAGCATCCTTCTGGGATGCCTCCTGCGTCCCTCAGCACGGCCAGCGTGGGCACAGCCATCACCCCAGCTCACACCAGCATCAGCATCACCGCCACAAAAGGGTCACCCCAGAGACAGCACACGAGCACGGGACGTGTCTCTGCACATGGGCTGATGAGACCCCAGCGCTCCAGCCAGCTCTGCCGGTGTCCTCGTGCGGCAGCACGGTGCCTCTCTGGGGCTATGGAAGCCTTGTCCCCATCCCTCTTTGGAGTCCCCCTCCCGTTCTGCCGGCGCTGCTTGAACGCACTCACACAGAAAAACCTGCTCAACGGTCCAGAATAATCACCCCTTCCAGAACAGCGCTCTCCAGACAAACGTGCTGACAGCGCGGAGGGGCTGAGCCTCCCCATTTACAACAGTGGCCCATCAGTGTCCGGCAGGCTCAGCTTCACCTCTGCAGGGGGCTCATCCAGGAAAACAGGGTGGTTTTCCCTCCTGCCTCCCCAGTTTCTAGTGCTCAAAGGCCTTTGCTCTTCTGCGTGTACCGGAGCCGGTGCCCTCGTGCCTCTGGCTCCTTCTGCAGCCCTGGTGGTGCCCAGGCAGGGCTGGCTCCCACCCTCGTGCCCTTGCTCCGGCTCCCACAACACAACACGAGACAGACCAAGTCTTGTCTGCAGGGACAGCTCGGCAGTCACACAGCTGCACCGGCACTGCTGGAACCAGGGTATTTATCCGGCAGTGTGCACAGGCACAGCCTGGCTCTTTGTTACCCGAATCACAGCTCATGGCCACCTCTCGGGTCACACTGCACCCATCCCCAGCCACCACCAGCCTGTCCACGTGCCGTACCCTTCCAGATGTAAATGGACAGACATCAACTCGCCTTTCATGGCGGAGAGATTGTACCACGGTTCCCCCTTTGAACCACACAGTGCAGGCAAACGGGCTGAGGTTCGGTTTTTGCATTGCTGAGGGAGATTCCGCTCCTTTCTCTTCTTCTTTTTGCAACCCCAACCAGAAATCTCCAGCCCCCAGGCTGTTGGCTCAGATATGCATGAACTTGTTCTTGTCAGCACAAAGATATTGTGCCTCGGAGCACTTGAAACCGCACGATAGAACCGCAAGTGAAACAACGGGCAACTGTCCTGGTTACTGAGCAAACAGATGGGACCAGACCTGCAGCATCTCTGACTCGGCAGCGAGCAAACAAAGCCACGGCTGAGCTCCTCTGACAAAGAGGCAGCCCAGGAGCGGGGCTGAATCCCTGCCGCTGTGCGGGGTTTCCACCAGACAGACCAGCGCTGCTGCACCACGCAGCAGCTCCAGCAGCACCGGAGGGGGGGGGGGGGGGCAAGAGAAGGGGCAGCCAGGGAAGGGCTTTGGTTGTGCAAACCAAGCTGGGGCACAAGCCCGAGCTCCTGGCAGGAGATGCACCAGGGGCAGCACCAGCATGAGCGCTGTTTGGATACACAGAAGCTCTCCCCTGTGAGGGTGCTGAGGCGCTGGCACAGGGTGCCCAGAGAAGCTGTGGCTGCCCCATCCCTGGCAGTGTTCAAGGCCAGGTTGGACACAGGGGCTTGGAGCACCCTGCTCTGGTGGAAGGGGTCCCTGCCCGTGGCAGGGGTTGGAGCTGGAGGAGCTGTAATGTAATGGCGTGTTTCAGGCCAGGGACCCAGGAGAGCAAGCACACTTACAAAGTAGGCG